TAACACTGCAGTTACACAATAAAAACATGACTGTGCAATGTCTCTGTTGAATGGAATGCCCTTTTCCATAACTGCATATAAAACTAAACCTCCTCTTTAACATTTTCTTTCTCATACAATTCTCATAGCCACTCTGCCAAAATAGTCTCGATTTAACACTGCAGTTACACAATAAAAACATGACTGTGCAATGTCTCTGTTGAATGGAATGCCCTTTTCCATAACTGAATCTAAAACTAAACTTTCTTGGGTTTTAAAAGTAAAAATAGAGACAAAAAATATTAGACATTTTGAAAACCTCATGACATCAACCTCATGAGGTCCTCAAAACGTCCATTACTTGTATCTCTAACTTTTCTATTGAAATGTCTTTCTGAATTTGACATAAAAAGGGATTTTGAATTCAAAACTCAAACAAAAAGCTTCAGATTCCAATAAGATTCTCTGGGATAGGTGTATCCATTTTCTAAATAGCACTTACTTAATAAGAGCACTAAAAGAATGGCTGATTGATTTACATCCCAACTTCAATAGCGTATGAACCAAAACTTCGATTCTCAAAGCAGAGAAAGATGGTTCTGTTGCAGGAGCTACGGATGCAAAAAAAAAAATTTCTTGGTTTAGTTCCTCTCTTTAAAAATTCAAAAAACTTCGTAATGATAAGAAAGAAGGTATTTATGATTCTTTGTAAATGTGGAAGAAAGACTCATAATCTAATAATATGAAGGATGTGGCAGCAGAATTTGAGAAGGAATATTGCTCTCAATTCAGCCTAATCACRAACACAATAAAACACATTCACTTTTTTCAGAGTTATCATTAAGCTTTAAAATAATGGAAAGGGAACATGAACTAGCTGGAGAGTCCTGGCAGGATTTTCATTAAGTTTAGAAATAATAGAAGATCATGGTACAGTTTGAGCCAGAGAATTTGACTCAGTTAAACCAGAGCATTTTCCAATCTCACACCCTCAATGAAAACCCCTTCTTTTTCATACCATCACCATCCTCAGACTGTCCATTAGCACTGGCAGTTATCTCATTCAGTAGAGCTTGAAGTTCCTCAAAGTCTTTCTTGGCTTTTATTGCTTCCATTAACTGCTTGGCGATGTCACCTCCTGGAAGACCCTCTAAAATGAATAAAACATCAGGGAGACACATCAGAGAGACATATCAGGAGATAACACAGCAGAGATATCACAGCTTTTAAACTCATCACTAGTAGCCGAGCTTGGCATGAGGTGCCTGAGAGGGGCCTGGCACATAAAATCATGGTAACCATGGCAACACTGTCACAACTCACTATGCACCYGTCACACTGACAGTCTGGTCAGTGGAATACTTACATGAAATTATATATACCTACCATAGGGCGGGAGGGCAATCAATAGTGTTAATCAACTACCGATGAAATAGCTTAGCCCTAGTTTAGCGTAATCACCAGAATAGCRTGTGAATGTGATAGCATGGTATTTAACGTAATAATAGCTGGCCAGCAGGCTGACAACAAATGGAAACAGCAGCTATCATAGACTATTCGTTGCTACTCAGATCGAGTCTCACTTTGCCTAAATTTCATTTAACCACATTTAAAAAGATAAATAGAGCCTTGTCTCTAGTAAAAAAAATCCCTTCATATTATTCTACCTTGCAACATGGCTTCCATATAACATAATACCCTTCCATACCTAGTATTCATTCCTGTTAATTCTTACCTTCTGAGAATCTGTAATTTGGTAAAGGAGGAGGAGGAACAAGGCTCTGGAACTGGCCTGATGGCAAGGCATTCACCATGTACTGATGGTATGAAAATCTAAATATAAACCATACAACATATATTTAATACAACATTCTGAAGTATGCTTTTTATTCATTTTTGGACTCTTGCATGCAGGCAGTCCAGAAATATGCAGCGCATTGCTAAGGAAACTGCTGTGCATGCTAAACATGAAAAGGATCATTTTTAGAGGTTAATATTTTACTAGAAGGAAAAGCTTTGTGTACTTGCACTCAAATTCAAAGCCTGTTGCCTAAAACATGGGAAGCACGGGTGGTGTGCGCTGCTAATGCGCCACCTCTCATCAATGCGACCCGAGCTCCGTGCTCGGTTTCGTATGTGAGTAGAGTTGTTTCTTGGTTCTCTCCTGTGCTTCGAGGATTTTTCTCCAGGTTCTCCGGTTTTCCTCCCTCTGCAAAAATCAACTTCTAAAATTCCAATTTGATCTTGGGCTTTCACCTAGCATGGATCTGTGGTTCAGTTCGTGATTGTCCCACTCTGTGATTACAGACAAAACTGGTAGATTTTTTTTTACATGCAATTATAATTAATTTTAAAACTAAAGTTATCTAATTATTAACTTATCTAAAAAGGCATCTACTGTATTTTTTAAAAAACTTGCTATGCTGTACTTGGTCCATTGAATTGAACAGGCATTTTATTTTGCCGGACAGGTACATTCATTTGATTGTTAACAAAATTTACCTGATTAACTTCTCAATAAGTTCAACCATAAATTTATACTTTGGTGATTCTGGGTTGTTGGTGTAAGATGCCCTGCAAATGGAAACAAATTGATCAGCAATGGTTAATGATTATTAAACAAAACAGGTTTTTATTGGAGCTGTAGAATGATAGTTTATTCACAGGCTTAATAAGCTCATGTTGGGTTTCCTGTATTTTCGTTGGTCTCCCTATGGTGGCATATGTTCATTATGATTTCAACTTATTGGGTGATTTGTTTTCGCTCATCGAAGGAAACCCAGCATGAAAATCAACCTGAGCGTGGTAAGCCTGTGGTTTATTTTCTATCCATGCAATTCAAAATACAAATGTTCTTATCAATAAATCAAAAACAAAATTGCCATCATAATATCTTACCAATCATCCCAACTCCATTTAAAGTTAAAGTTACTTAAATGATAAGACAGCCAACAGACAAACCTGAAATTTGAAAGTCAGTCGAAAATTACCCTTGGCATCATAAGCTTTACTTTTCAAAAGAGAACAAGAGCAAGTCAAGTGATGGGTGGCAAGCAATAGTTGTTCAATGTTGTGGTCAGATTTGACTTAAGCTCTGCTGACACCTYATGTGAATCAAGTTTGTTTGATGTACGTGTTGTCCTCCCCTATACCAAGAGGCTTTTCTTTGGGTTTTATAGTTTCCTCTTTTCATAAAAATCAACATGCAAGTTGAGTGTCATGTAGTGGTAGTGATGTGAATCAAATTTGTTTGATGTGTTGTCCTCTCCTATACCAAGAGGCTTTTCTTTGGGTTTTATAGTTTCCTCTTACTGTAAAAATCAACATGTAAGTTGAGTGTCATGTAGTGATAGTGAGGGTGAGTGAAAAGTGTCCGGCCCAGATTTTTTATCTTTCCTACATTTTTTCTGCATTTTTACAATCCATACGATCTTGACCCAGAAATTTCCTTTATCATAAATCAAAATACATTTTGAAAAGTTCTTTATTTTACCGGTTCAATGGTAACTTTACCTGTCAATGCAAGTTGTGTTCATAGTGTCTAAATGTTCAAACAGAAGTTCTGTGGCTTGAGCAACCTTTTTCACATTAAGGACAAAAATTTATCTAGGATTTTCAATCAGCATAAGTTTTATACTGTACATATTGAATGTGTAGTTCCAAAAATCATCCATTACTCCCCCCCCCCCCCCCCCAAGTCCATATATTAAACTCTGTAATTTGACCACCTCCCCCTCCCCTCAGTGATTCAAAATTCCTCCGTGCAGGGCAGGGGGAGGGGGGAGGGTATGGATAATTTCTGGAACTATACATTACATTGCAAATACATGCCGAAGCAAAGTCTCTCCAAACAGTCATAAAGGATACAATTCCAGGCATTGAATTTGGCTGCAATTTACAAAGTTCAATCAAAAGTGAGCCATAAAACAGGTCAATGTGCCGAGGATTTGGTAATCTAAAGATCTCTGAAAATATAACCTGAAATGACAAAATGATGAAAAATAAAAAATGAATGATTTAAAAACAGTGTTAATTTGTTAATTTCTCCAGCTAGCAGCTGTTCTTCCAGAAATTCCAGCACATAATTACATTACAGATAAATTTTATCATTAAAATTACAGAGAAGTAACAATTTATTGTGCGAGGCCCCTGTGATTCAAACTATGGTCCTCTTGCTTAGCAGGCACCACACTAACCGACCAAGTCACACTTGCTTCTTAAAACAAGTGTGCGAGACCCCTGTGATTCAAGCTATGGTCATCTTGCTTAGCAGGCACCACACTAACTAAGTCACACTTGCTTCTTAAAACAAGTGTGCGAGGCCCCTGTGATTCAAACTATGTTTATCTTGCTTAGCAGGCACCACACTAACTAACCAAGTCACACTTGCTTCTTAAAACAAGTGTGCGAGGCCCCTGTGATTCAAGCTATGGTCATCTTGCTTAGCAGGCACCACACTAACTAAGTCACACTTGCTTCTTAAAACAAGTGTGCGAGGCCTCTGTGATTCAAACTATGTTTATCTTGCTTAGCAGGCACCACACTAACTAACCAAGTCACACTTGCTTCTTGAAACAAGTGTGCAAGGCCCCTGTGGTTCAAACTATGGTCCTCTTGCTTAGCAAGCACCACACTAACCAACCAAGTCACACTTGCTCCATAAAAGAATTGTGTCAGGTCACTGAGGATCAAACTATGGACCTTTTGCTTAGCAGGCAGCAAACTAACTAACCAAGTCACGTATACTCCTTAAAACAAGTGTGCAAGAGATCACTGGAGATCAAGCTGTACTTTGTGCTTTGCTGAAATTGCAGGGCTTAAAATAATAATTGGGTAATAGGACAACGTCTTGTAAGAATAATTGGAACTTGTCCTGACAAAACTTGCCTTGCCCGTCATTTTGACCAGTATTGTTGGGCCAGAAACGAAATATGCTGGAGCTAAGAGTAATAATTATTTATCCAGTAAATGACCTGCAAATGACAAGTCATTATTTTGAGCCCTGAAAAAGCACTTACCACCAAAGCCACATTTTTTTTTTTTGGTAAATGAAATAGCATTCTTAGAAAAGATGAATCTTTTTATAAAAGAATATGTTTTAAAACATTAATTATCTTATGATACCTACCTCAACTAAACAGTAGTCAAAAGGGACTTTGGATTTTCCAGGCATATTGAGAAGCTGGTTGGCACTGAAATAGAAGATTAAGTAATTAGAATTTCACAAACTAGGTATTTGTGAGCTGTACACTGAAATTTGATCTTTTGATGCCAATCAAAAATAATCACTTAGTACAGTACCTTATATTCTTGAGGGCAGTGAAATATCAATTTCACAACAAGCCATTGAAATGTTGGCGTTTACAGAATATCAAAAACCCCAGTAATGTTGTGTAATCATTTTGTACAGTTCTGTCCCGGGGGGGGGGGTACTACCACCCCAACTTGGGTAGGGGTGTGCCGCCAGGAGCTCAAAACCCTGACCCTATCCCAGACCTAAAATTTTGATTTTACATACCCTACCCCAGACTAAAACTAAAAAATATACACCCTATCCCAGACTAAAAGATGGAAAATATGGTTTTACAATCGATTGCAATCAATATTTACTAACATTTTTATTGTTTTTGGTYGGCAGAAAGTGTAGCCTATTCGCCAGACAAAAACGACCAAATCGTTAACCCTATCCCAGACTAAAATGATACCCTATACCAGACAAAATGTTACCAGACAAAATGTCAAAAAATGATACCCTACCCCAGACCCAAAAGCCGAAAAACCATACCCTATAGGGCGGCACATACCCGTATAGCAAATATAGGGGAGTACCCCCCCTGTGAGTTTTTTTCCTCCTACCATTCTTTTCTGTCCTTGTAATGAGCATTCATTACTCTTCTGATGCTCTCTTCAACTAAAAATCGTTCTACAGAGTGAGCTCCTGGCATCRCAGGCCCCTAAAACAATCAAATTAACAATTTTGTTAGGCCATGCTATATCTTGACATTAGATCAAATAAGATGAAGGAGGTCAAAGTTAAGAGTGGCAAAGTGAAAAACACACGCCTATCACTTCTGGGGTCTTACGTTTGATTTCTGGACTCAACATCACATTTAAGCAGAATTTGTTAGGTCTATTTCTTGATTTGAGGGTTTTTCACAGATTTTTGACAGGTTCTCAAGTTTTCATCCCACCACAGAATGTAACCAGCTAAGTTACAACTTGGTCTGTGATTCAGCCATGCCCTGACGTTGCTTAGCTCAGAGATTGTTTCAGGTTTGATAAAAACAGAATTATTATTATTACATGATTTATGAAAGAGAAGTTACAATACCTCTGGCACATCTGTGTAGTCAAACATTCTATATACAACAGAAGGACAAGGATAGGTTGCACCCTCTGCATGGGGAGGGACAGTAAAGGATGGCAATGAATGCTGCAAAAGGAAAAGATTAAAACACTGTAAACCATATATTTGCCTAGTAAGTGTATATGAGAACAATCAAATTGTGACCTTTTCTACTCTATTGTCCCTGAAGCAAATCCCCATCCATAAACTAGGGTTAAACAAAGCTGCGAGCATAAAACAAACCTGCAGAGCATCTCCAAGAACACTTTCAAAGGCCAGATAAGGTCTTCTAACATGCTTTTCCTGAAATTGTTTACATGAACATGTCAGTCACACTGATTAAGGGTGTGGCTCATTGCAAACAAACTTGACTGGTCAGCCTAAGAGGCATTTGGCAAGACAAGTAATATTTTGATCAATAGTCAATAATTTTTTAATTGCTATCATTTGTGGAAAGCATGGCTTGCACAGCATTGACAGTGCTTGTCTCTCACCAAGGCAACCCTGATTCATTTCCTGGACTCTGCGATATAATGTACTTTGAGGGTTATACTTTTAGGGTTTTTCTCCAGATTCTCTGGTTTTTCTCCCTCTGCAAAACTCAACTTCTAAATTCCAAGTGGAAGCCATTGGAAGAAGATTGAGCCAGTCCGTAGAACCACTTTTATGCATTCATTATTTTTAGCCCAAATTTCTATAAATAAATTTGGAATCTCAGTACCTGCCAGTCATCAGCTTTTAACTTCTTGATTTGTGCCCACAGACAGTCAAGATACTAAAAAATGTTTTAGTAAAAATCATTAATCACTATACTTGGCACTGTACAGCATAAATTTTCAAAACATCAATCAATACATACCTCTTCTTGTGGGTGGACATCGTCTGTGGACCACACCCTTAAAGCCGGTACATGGGTTTTTTGTCTTTGACTGAAATTGAAATCAACCAATGTGAAATGGTGTAAACAAACTAATCATACTGAAACTAATCTATAAGAATCAACTGTATCCGAGATAAGAAGTACATTTTCCTTTTAGTAGCCTGTATATGCTTTGGCTTGTCTTCAGTTTTCTATCAACCTAACATTGATTGACTATAAATCAACTRTTTGTTTTAACAAATGTCGTATATGGCATTCGACACTACCTTATGTAACCATCTATGGCAGTCAGCATTCGTTCTAGCTCATGTCCTTTCTTCTCTGATAACTCCTTCCCTGCCTGAAAATATAATTTAAAAAGTGAATGAAAGTATGAACAAACAAAGGAATGGATGGATGGATGGATGGATAAATGGGTAGATGGGTATGGATGGGTGGGTGGGAATGAAAGGATGGATAGATAGATAAATAAATTAATGGGAAAATAGAGGGATAAATGAGAGAATAAAGRTACAAATCTTCTTACCCAAGGGAGAGCTGACAAAACAGTGTAGATGAAAATGTCTGTGCGAACCTGAAAAAATACCAAAGTTTGTTAATTTTTTTATCTACATGTATCCACTTTTATGTTCTCCAAACACCAGGATTGAAATCTAAGAATATGTGGATGGAAAGCATCAAAAACATAGCAATAGTCCCTTTCACAGTTTCCTGCGCCATCTTGAAATGTAGCTGTGCCTTTGCATCAAAGCGAGACGAAGGGTGACCTTGCTGACGGGGACTATTACTAATCCAGCAAGTATACTTGCCTGAGGAACATCGGTTTCCATACTTGCTGCTATGAATTTCTCAAACAATTCAATGATAGAGATAGGTAATATCACATGGCAGTTGACCAAGTCTGCCAAGAAACGAACCTACAAAGAAAATGTATAGAGAAGTTTTAGAACAGCAAGGGAATCAAGGGTGGTGTATCGGTAGTATACTCTCCTTTCATTGCTGTGGTTTAGGGTTTAGGTTAGGTTAGGGTAAGTCTCTCCCTTATGTGCAAGGGTTTAAAATTTAAAATTGGAGTACCAGGTAAATCTAAGACTCAGAGCATTTCCATATCCAGACCATTATTCATTAGGAAAATGGTACTCTTGGCTCTGGGAAACCCTAAAATTTCAAGTGCTCTGATTGTTTGAGTGGGATTTGGACCAAAATAATTTAATGTGGGTTCCCTGTGAAATTTTCTAGACAGGTAACCCAATATATAAAAATTTCAACATGATTGTATGTACAAGCTATGAATAGTTACCATTAGTCTTGCTCTATCATACTGGTTTGAAACAAGCACATCCTTAAGGTTAGCCAAAATCATATCAAGGAACTGCAATAATAAAACCAATATGTTCATAAGTTATAAACTAACAGACGGTCCAGTTTTCAAATTTTAACTGTGAAACTATCTTCTAGGTAGACATTTGATAAAAATTACATTAATTTATGTCTATTCAGTTCCTTAGTGTTCAGCTTTTAATCTTGATTCATAGTCTTTACAACAAAACCATTGAATATTGTAACCATAATGACTGTCACCTAGTTTGACAACCTGTACTAGACCTCTTTATCTTAGGCATAAATGTTTTCCCATTTCAGAACACRTGTCATTCCAAAGAGTATTGCTTATTTGCTTGAAGGTTGTGCATAAGAAGACAAATATATGTGGATTCAACTCAAACAAATAATTTTATTATCTAGGGAATGACAGGTGGTCTGAAATGGGAAAACATTACGCCTTAGCTGAAGAGCTGTATTCCAAGTACATGTATTATCGTTTTTATGTTTGGCATACCTCTTCTCCACATTTATAATTTCTTGCATTTAAGAGTCCCACAAGAGTACTGTAGATTGCTATTTTCTCTGGGAGGTTTGTTACACTGGAAATGAAAAAAATAATAGAACCGACTTATATATTTCTTCTAATATACAGTCATATCACAGGAATGGCAGGGTACTTTGTAAAGTACTTTGACAGAGTAAAGTGGGAGTGGGGGGCAATCTCAGTGGGTTTATTTAATAATTGAAACGAGTACTGACAAAGTTATGTGTCATTCTCTTATGGGAGGTTAAAGCCCTTGCAGCTATCCCCCCCCCCCCCCACCCCACCCACTCTTCTCCCCCTGTACCCTTGAGAAAATAACGGCCGGTAAACTAAACATCATAGCTAGCTTTCTGGGTGGATTATGAACATGGTTATAAACATAATTCATGAAGACTACAGTTTGTAATGTTAAATACTGTATAGACATACCATGTGCAAATAATTTTCAAAATTCTTTCCTTGTAGTTAGGTAAGTCAGCCTCCAGTACATTAGCCAAACCTTCTAGATTGCTTTCAAGAGATGACGTGCTCTAAAGGGAATCGTTAAGTTAAAGTTAGCTGAATCATGAGGGGGAAAATGTCATGTTTGATGTAAGCTACGTACAGACAATATACTGCATAATTTAGTTCAACCACTAAGTATCACATTCTCTTGCACATATTTAYGAGATAGTAAAGAAAAATAAAACAACTTTGAAAGCAGTAAATGATTTATTTGTTATATATTATGTATATTTTCTAAAATGACCAGTTCATAAAGTCGGACACAAATGAAAAGACTGAGTCGTCCCAACTCAGCTGATTTTCAAACAAAAACAACTCCATGTCAAACCTTTTCCCCAACTCTTGTGATCAAAGACTCCAATCGATCCTCTATATCAACAGCCTCTGCTACTACTCGACGGCGCTTCCTTGGTTTATCATCTTTTAAAACAGAAAAATATAGACATAATAAATATTTTACAAAAACATAACCTTTGAAAACTAAGCTTGTCACTTCGTCGATCGAACAGAAAAAGTTTCGCAACGAAATTATACGAAATTTTAAAACAGTTTTACGCTAATTTTGAGATGTAAAAGCAACAAATTACTTACCGTTATCTTCGTAATATCGTTTACGTTCCCTAGACATTGTAACAGCTTAAAAAAGATTTAAAAAGGAGCAAAACTTGGAGCAAAACTTTCAAGTCTTTTGATGTTGATGGCTATGGCTACACATGGACAGGAGAGGTTACTCAGCATATGCACAGGTAGCCCAAGGAGACATTTTACCCTGACTGAGAAAAACATCAAGAAAATCAAAACAAAACAAAAAGAAACAAGAATAGGAATTTTATTTTAGGTTTCTTTGAAAATGCTGCCTCGAAAAAGTTAATTGACAAAAGGCGTTATGCATCCAGGGTGAGTGAGGTTTTCACCTTGTGTTGGGCTTCCTGTGGAAATAGCCATGCAAAGTTCAAAATGGCGGCCACTACACGAAGTAAGTGATGTCTAATGTTATCCCCCAAAAATACAACTTTTACTGAATGTATCGTAAGGCAAGGCGAAAAGATAACACTTAAGCTTTAAGGGGATTCATTTTTTACAAGATACAGATAAGAAGTTGTCAAAATTAGAAAAATAAGCTTCATTGCATTGAACCTGCTGTAATTATTTTACCAAAACTCACCATAATATTCTGTGTTTGGTTTAGGCATTATCCAGCGTAAGTTATGCAGTGTTATAGACTTTTGCGTCCAGTCTTGTTCAAAGAGGGGATTTCATTCAATCCCATCGTCATCATGGAGTGTCCTTCAACATCAACTGACATGTCATTCAAACATTGGGGCTTCTACTGCCAACAGTCAATACAATTATTTATCAAAAAGAAGGTAATTTTCAATTCTATAAGGAAAATTATTTAACTCATTAGTCTATAATATTACCCCCAAAATACCATTGATTCAATACCCCCACTCTCTACCTAATCCCTCTACTGTATGTGCCCCCCTGACCCCACTCCTACCACCCCCCCCCCCCACCTAAATAAATATATATGTATATGTATTAGTATAAATAGCAAAGTATATTGTTGGCTCTCACTCTCCCCTCCCTAAGAACAGAGGGAACTCCATGGGACATTAAAATGTACTCCTTTTAAGCCGCCCTGTAAATGAAACATTTTTTAAAAATTTCAGACTTGCATCCAGAGCCAAGCCACGTATGACATTTTCAGCTGATTCAAAATTCAACGAACAGCCAATCGTTTTCATAAATGCAACATACAACAATACAATGCTGACACTAACAGATTTCAAAGGTATTGTTTGTTTGAATGTTACATTATGAAGCCTTGTTAGAAAATATATGAATAGCAGCATCAACATGGCTACCATCTTTGCACTCTCTTGGGGGTAAAACACAAGAACCACACCCAGATTCCATCTGCCATTAAACAGCCAACTAACAGTTAAAGAACTAACAAACTACCATGTAACAGCTGACAAGTAACAGACCGGGCTTCTCAGGGGCGGATCCAGGGGTGCGCACCCCCCCTGGTTCGACTTCTTGCCCCTACTTCGAAGTAACCAATACTGTTTTTTCCATTTGATTCCAAGGGGTGTACCCCCGCCCCCAAGAGTTAACTTCGTGCATAGCACCCCCCTGAACAAAATCCTGAATCCGCCCCTGCTTCTGGTGTGCCAGTCTTGTGTTTTACCTCTTTTGGAATTCGCTTGACAAATAATGGCAAATTTGATCAGGTTGTTGACCTTGATCGTATAGCAAAAGAAAAACATGGCCATTAGTACTCTAACTTGGTAAACACTGATATTACTGTAGTAATAAATTATGCGTTCGGTGTGTATATAATGAAGTAGAGAGAATAAGAGAAAAGTATCAAATGCCCTTGGCAGGATTCGAACCCATGTCTTTGGTATTCTAGTCCGATGTGTTAACCACTACACTACAAGGACCATTGAACCACGCTGGTAACGCAGCCAGAATATGAAATGTAGGGTATTCGTGAGGATCCCAGAGCAATATTTTTTCTCTATAGATAAGTTGAACACCGTAAATATCTATGCAAAGAATAGACATAGTATAGTAGTAATAAATTATGCGTTCGGTGTGTATATAATGAAGTAGAGAGAATAAGAGAAAAATATCAAATGCCCTTGGCAGGATTCGAACCCACGTCTATCGTACATATTTGCGTACATATTTACGGTGTTCAACTTATCTATAGAGAAAAAATATCGCTCTGGGATCCTCACGAATACCCTACATTTCATATTCTGGCTGCATTACCAGCGTGGTTGGTCCTTGTAGTGTAGTGGTTAACACATCGGACTAGAATACCGAAGACGTGGGTTCGAATCCTGCCAAGGGCATTTGATTTTTTTCTCTTATTCTCTCTACATATATTACTGCCTAATTTAGAACATTCATGGTGCTTATGTTTACGTAACCTAGATAGCTCCAAGCATAATAACTTGTTGTTCAGGTTTGTATTTGACTGAAGTCAAATTCCCAGACATCAAGTAGAGTTACCATGGGTGCAGAGTCATGAAAACTGGCCTTACTCATTTAGCTATGTGGAAAGCAATACTAAGAAAGCCCTAAAGCAAATTATACTTTAATATTTCAATTTTAACCAAGATTGCAATAATTATTTTTTTCTTGATAAAATACCACTTTGTTTTATGACTAAAGACTCATATACACACAGGCTCAGCCTTGTTAAAATTTAAGAGCAAACCATTTGCAAAAGTCAACTGTAACGTAAAGAATGATTGTGCAGCTTGAACGATACCAACATTTTGAACTCCCACAGAACCCGTTTAATGTGCAGACTGTGAATAGCTGACTCATAAATAAGGTTAAGCCTATACAAATGACTCTGTGGTCTCAAAAACATTTGTATGCAATGAAAGTAAAACTGCAGGTAGTTGATTATGTTTTTTAACTTTGGTACAGAGATATCAAAAATTTCCTTTAGTGAGAATAATAATTTGGACTTGTGCTCCTCAATTATGGAGTCATTTTTGAAATTTAATGATCTAATTATTTGTGGCAATAATTTTATAGCAATTTGTTCAGCAATTTCTGCTGCAACCTTACAGTAACTCCATAATGCAAGTTTAAACTAGGTAGTGATCAGGTACCAAAAAAGTCATTTGAGTTAACAAGCCTTACAGCCATTCTCAATATTCTGCAAACTCAAACATTCCAAGGACTTGTCCTGAAATTGGTTTTTCGCTGCCGTCAATCAAAAATAATCAGTCAGTACCATTTATGTTCTTGACTCGCCGCAGTAAAAAAGACAATATTTTCAACAAGCTGTTGGAATGCCTGAGTTCACAGAATATTTAGAATTTCAGTAAATGAAAAAAAGAATATTATGTATGCATATGTGATTTTAAAAATTTATCTTCAATTTTGTTTTTAAAGGGAACACTTTAGCATGGACCTCTGCAGTAAGTATATGTGCTCATTATAAATTTTTTTTTGAATTGGTAATACTCCAGCAATTTTTCAAGTTCCCATATTTGCTCAGAGATTAGGAATCAAATTCACTGACGTTGTATTGATAGGCATGAGCATTCTCACTGCCGACTTGAAAGTTTACACTATTTCAACAACCGCACACACTGTACCATGAACAACATGATAATTTTTTCCCCAAAAAATTTCGTATTTTATTTCAAAATGTTTTATACATATATATATATACATACTTGAAAACATTTATACATACTTGAAAAGTTAACATTTATATGTGTGTAAATAAACAAAAGTCCAAAGTTCGAGTCCACTCATGCTTGCCAATAAAGATGATTTTCACTAGACTGCTTCATAGAAACTTGAATGCTTTTGCTTTTAGGGGGCTGAAGGTTTCAAAAATTCTAAACGTGGAAGCAGTGTTGCAGCACAGCAAGCATCTCTTTCATTAGCTAAGGTAATAATGGGAATTTCTTATATAGAGCATTTCAAATATCTCAATGCGCTTTACATTAATGACCAGTGGAGGACTTTACGGGCTGCATATTAAGGCACTATTAGCAGCTGTGCAGCTTACAATCATAAGTTTGATTTGTTAGTACATTAGTGTTATGCCTCCAAATTGGGATAGGCTGTTGAACCGGGAGACAATCCCCTACTCTTATAAGAAAAATTCAACAGATTCTTTTATGTCCCCCATTTTACTGTAGGCTAGGAAGGGTTAGGAGACAGGGTCTACAGTTTTAAGTCCTTGTGCGAGAAGACTTGAAGGTCTAACCATTTGCATATATAAATCAAAGGCACCTTCTCTGTTATTTTAAGCCCCTGAGTGTTGGTCCGGCTGAGGTTTAAACCACTACCTCCTGCACAACAGACCAACCCTCTTACCAACTGAGCTAACCAGATGGCGGTAATGTGTTGGAGTCCAGCTTTGGACCATTATACACGCTCCTTGCACAGACTTAACAATATTTATTTTGCCATAAAAGTAAACGTTTTCTGAAAGCTAAAATATGTTGTTTTCAAAAATCATTAAAATTTCTGAAACAGTGTAAAGGTGAGAGCGCTAGCCCCTCACCAATGCGACCCGGGTTGGAGTCCCACTGAGCTCGATGTTGTATGTGAGTAGAGTTGTTTGTTGGTTCTCTTCTGTGCTTCGAGGGTTTTCCGGGTTCCCCGGCTTTCCTCCCTTTGCAAAAATCAACTCCTAAATTCCAATTGGAATGACAGTGGATGAATAGCTACTCTGTAGAAATGCCACTGCTAAATCCCATTTATTTATTATTTATTTATTGATCAAAGTCAGGCATAGGAAGTAACCCAAAGAAAAACTCTTGAATCGAGCTAGAGACTTAACTTATTCACATGATGAAGAATGCAAGGATCAAATCAGATACCCCGAAAAGAGTGCACTTCTGCTATGCCACCCTTTATTTCCAGCTCTATATTTACATTCTTGTGAAACCTTGCAAAATAACCAATTTCTTATAATTCTCATTTTCTGCTTACAGAAAGCTACTGATCTTGGGGTACAGAATGTTAGAATAAAACTGAAAGGTGYTGGAAATGGAAGACAGGTAAGAAACTCAAAAGAAGGTTTATAGCTATATTAGCTTTATGGGAGATTTTATAAAATTACTTAACAAACTTATTAATAATTCACACACTAGAAATCATGACTGCAAAAAGGTTTATAATTCTGATACAAAATCATGTTCGTTTGCATAAACTTTAACTTGGCTTTTCTTGGGAAGATTCACTTTTATCTTGAAAATTTTTAGTGAAACACAAAGGAACTAACCTAGAYGTTTGTTAAGCAAGATACAATATTCATGTCCGTGTTAGTTGTATACAATATATAAATTTGAGGCATAGCCAATTCACACTGTATGTATTACTTATTGATGTCTAGATCTGATGCAGATGACTTTCAAACCACAACTTCTCTTGTTGAAAAGCTTGATTTTATTATTTTTGACAAAAACTGATTCCTTGTTGATTTAATAGGAAGGTCATGAATTTCTTACTGAAGGGAAAAGGCTACAATGAACAAATGTCATTTTGAAAATGCTTGAGTTCTCTGAGACCATTAGCCCACTTGTATGAGTTACACCCTTATATTTACTATGGTTGATTGGATGAATGGTATGCAAGCGCATCAAAACATTTTCTAATACCAATGTGGGTCATGATTCAACAAAGGTTTAACCAAAAAATTTTTTCCAGGTAATTCAGTCTTCCTGTTTTCTCAGTTTTCTCCCATGTAAAAATCAACTAAGTGCTGAGAGAGCTGCACTGCTTCATATAGTCTTTGCATGTGAGAGAAAGATTTTCTAGTCTTAAATATAAATACCACTATTGTGGATTTGGCTTGGTCCATTGGAATTAGTTTGTTCTGCTATCCAAATGACTTCAACACAATGGAATTAAATCCTAGAGTGCAAACAATTAACCTGTGAAGCACTAATTACTAAATAGTACAAAATAGCGCTAGTTAAACAATAGAAAACAATGGAATTTGCATGAAATTGTGCTATTTAGTATTACTAAAGTCACTCTAACTAGCTAAAAACTAGTGTAAGCTGCGTGTAGTAGAAAATAGTGCTAACTAAACAATGGAACAAAACAATGGAACTTTGCATGAAATTGTGCTATTTAGTATTACTAAAGTTTCACGGTTATATTTGCATTCTAATTGCTTTAATTATTGTTTATGAACTTTAATATGTATTGATTATATGCTTTTATCCAGGCATCCGTGAAAAGTCTTGCTTCATCTGGACTCAAGATCACGTCTATCACGGATGTTACACCTATTCCACATAACGGCTGCAGACCCAAAAAAGCAAGAAGAATATAAACTCTTTTTCTTTGTAACAAAACGAGCTAGTGTTAAAAATAAAAACACATTTTGTTGGAAAGAGAGTAAAATTCAGCAACTTCATTTCTAATCTTGTCAGATAATCATTGCGCAATTTACGCGTCACTGAGAAAAGGGTTAAGAAGCTTAGAGAAGACTGCACGAATGACTTGAAAGCAGCTGTGGTTAAGGTGTGTTTTCAAGAGGGGCTAAGAGGTCAAAATTTTCGCGGGCATGCATGAGCGCGGCAAAATATTAAATTGCCTCGCTCACATGCCGGCCCGCGTCACTTTTTCCAGTGATTACCACATTCAAATTACACTCTACTCTCGTCTCCGCTCATTCCTCGCCCATCACTTGAGGTGCAAACAATTGTTCTATTAGCTCTTCCACAGCAGCTGTAGTGCTCTAACAAAAATGGCTTTTCGCCAAAGAATTCGCAAAATGAGAAAGGACATCCGTGATGTTAAAGAAGACAGAAAGGCTTTAGTCCACAAGGAGCTTTTCGTGTTGGACAACTCGCTTCGTGAGAGCACCGTAGGGCAGCTCCGAGGACATACCATCGAAAATAAATGGAAGATATATAATGAGGTAAGGTGACGTGGTACTAATACGAAATACATCCCGCGCAAAACGTTTATTTACAGTCAAACCACTTCTGCGTGTCAAATCTTCAAAGCCTAGCATATACAAAAGCCTAGGATGTATGCAGCTCAAATGCAAGAGCAACTTTTTGTGCAAGGAAAATGTAATATTTAATGACTTACCTTCTGTTTACGCTATATTCAAGAGCCAACGAGCCAAGTTAATCGATTTTCAAATTATTATATTATTTTTTGAATATTGAAGACTTCGTTTTTAAAAATGAATGTTAGCATCGAATAATGAAATCAAGAATYCAAAAATAAAGTCATTAATGACCTCTACGTGTTTACGCTTGAGGTGGTTTGACTAATTTAAAATGTGTTTATTGTTATATTWTCAGCCATGTTTTAGGCATATTATGCAGAGTTGCAAGGAGTGGCCATGCCCCTTCTAAAATCATCCATTGCTTATTCCATTCGGTGAAAGGTTGTTTCAAAAAAAGTGTAAAATTTGGAGCTCGCAGCTTCTTAACCAATGAATTAATATAAATATGTGGCATCGAGCAGAAACCGTGATTCAAATTTTATTAGCAATGGCAAGTTTTTTTTTTATTTACCTAGGCTCAAGTCATGCAATCAAAATTATCAATTATCAAAATGATTAGCTTTTGAATCAACCCTTTCTAAGAAAAAAAATTACTAAATTTAATTGAAACAGCGCGAAGAATCTCCCTGCTGTCGCATGCTGTAAAACGCTGCAGAAACTTGAAAATGAAAATTCTGGATTTCGAAAACCGCCAAGAAATTTTTAATCATTACTTTGCGTGTAACAAAAAAAGCTTGACAACCTTAAAACATTCCGTGAACAGGGACGGCGGAGGTGGGGTGGCTGGGTGCCTTTAGCCAACCCCCGTTTTTTTTAAAGTGAGGTGTACCTAAACAGCTCACCTCGTCGGTGGACAACAACGCTCTCGGTCGTTCCACACGGTTAAGTTCGGGAGAATATTTGCATAACGACTCTTCAATTTCTCTGCACTTTCTTCAGCTACCAGTAATAGTCCTGAAAAACTAAGACCTTCTGATAGGACGTTATTATCAACATCTTCCTTTTGGTCATATATATTGCCATACTGGTCCACGGCGTAATGCCGGCCATCGATGGCCATAATAAGTGAGCATCGGTTTCTTGCCACGAGGCATAGCAATCTTCTACTTCAAGACCAGTGGTTGTAGTCAAGTAGCCCATAGGGCATTGTATCCAAATTCAGCTTCTCTTATTGATTTATTTTGGGTTATTTCCAAATAATGTTTTCTTTGTCAGCTTTATATAACACTTGAGCTCCTTCAATCATTACATCAATGGAATTCCCCTTCAAGCAATGCAAAAATGGTAATCCGTAATCCTGTTGGATGTGTAATTTAAACAAATAGTTTACGAGTTATTTGCGCATCTTCTCGATCATTTTGTTTTTGAAGAGATACGACTCAAAAAAAGAATATTATTCTCAAGAGAATGACACGTGGTGTGAAATTTGAAAATGTTATGTCTAGATGGATTAGGTCCATATACGACTAGCGACTAGACCTTTTGACATTTGGTCGGTCAGTCAGTCGGTCGGTCGGTCGGACATTCACTCACCTACTATCCTTTGTATTTTTAGATCAAAAAGGTTGGCTTCAAGGAAATGATCGTGGCGTCGTTTTCGCACATGACTCGTTTGGGTGACACATTTATTCGTCAACTAGCAGAGAAAGGTGAAGACTTCAGTAAACTTTGGGCCTTCAGTGAGTTCCTTGAATCCATTGACAGAAACCGAGTGCCGAATACTAAAGCTATTCCAGTTGGTCTGAGGAAGTGCAAAGAGCTGGGCCTGCGCAACGTGATCATCGAGTTCGATCTGGTCTACAAGGGAATCGATTACGACAAATTCACCGTGGAGCAAATCTGTCAGCTTTGTTCTGATAGAATGAAATGGGCCCGTGAGAATCTCGCTGCAGATGCTCGCATCCTCTTCAACCTTCGGGATTTCTCGGACGCCATGATAAAGGAACCAGAGCGCCAGTTTAAAGTGGTTAATTATCTGTCGTCCCTCCCTCAAAACGAACGACCCTTTGGCTTGATTTACGAAGAATCGGGAAAATACCTTCCTGAAGAGCTTGGTGCGTGGACGGCTGCCGTTCGTGCGGAGATGGACGACTGTGGGTTTCATGAAGGACATCTTCTTGTACATGTGCATGAGCAATGGGGCCTGTGTGTGTCGACGCAACTGGAATGCATTGCTAACGGTGCAAACGGTGTCTGGGCCAGCCTCTGTGAAGAGGGAGCAGCAATGGGCCACTGCAGTTCAACCATGACCCTCATGAATTTGATTCGCCTTGGTAATAAGCGTGTTCTTAAGCAGTACAACTGCGTGAAGCTTCGCGAGGCCGCAATTAACGTCCAAACAATCACCACTGGGAAGCCACCACACCCAAAACAACCCGTCTACGGTGAACGCGCTCTCGATATGGTCTTTGGGATGCCGAATTTCCAACCAGATAAGAAGGACTTCAACATGGCCGAGTTCTTTGGCGAGAAACCAGTCATGAGGATGACTACATTGGCCTCGCCGCCGATGATTGTTTCCAGGCTCAAGACCCTGTTTGGAGATGACCCACAGTTTACTRAAGAAAGGGCCCACAGAATGAAGGAAGTGATGTTAGAAGATCTGCATAAGAACAGAAAAGAGGAGTATATGAGCGCCGTGGGTCTGGCACTGTTATTTGACCGCTCTGGTGGCAAACTTACTGAAAAGATGAGTGAAGTGATAGCCAGTAACAAACCAAAGGATATCCACGCACAAGAGGTGATTGCAGAGGTACGCGCCATGTGGGATGAGTGGGACCTTAGAGATGGAGTCAAGGATGACCAACTTGAATTCGACGCGTTCTACAACGGCTTCATGGCCCCGTACTTTGGTTGCTACCGTTGTGAGGAGACCACGAAGGCCTTGGGAGCCATCGATATGGATTCCGATGGCACAGTGGATTGGAATGAGTTCGCATTGTATCTAAAGTGGGCTATGCGTCAGTACCCAAACATCGCGGACGCCGAAGAGCTCCTCTCTACTGCCTTTCGTAAAGGGTTGATTCCAGCCATGCAAGACGAAGTTCTGAAACAGTAGTAAAGCCACCAAGGATGGTAGGCAGGTCGGTGATAGTAATATCACTTTGAATTTCAGACAACTTCAAATAATTGCAACCAAGACTTAAGAATGGAAATTCAAAGTTAAGCGATAAATCTAAGTTAATCTTTAATGCATCGTAATTTTGATCGGGTACAGCATTAATTTGATTCTACTTTGTAATCTAATATAGTCTAATGCGTTTACCACTACGGGTGGTCGGCTTAATGCCTAACAGGTAAGGCAGCTGATAGATCGAATTAGAATTTGAATTATTAGTCCGGTAAAACCTGGAATGTATGAACAGTTAATTGTTTACAGCGTGGTAAAGTCAGTAAAGCTTATAAGTCCGTTTTCTTAGATCCATTCTTGCTGCTTTAAGAGCTGATATTCCGAGTGAAACTCCGCAACTCTATCTGAAAATGATAAAGAAGCCATGTTAATTTAGGGTAAAAACCTGTTTATTACTAGTAAATAAAGGTTCATTCGAATCTACTTAGCAGCCGTCTTTAGTCTTGGTCCATTCCCCTACGGATCACTAGCCATGGTTGAAGAAAAAACTGGGTTGAGTTAGCATTGCAGTGCATTGTGGGACAGCTTTAGAGGACTAATGAACTAAGGATGTCCCTTAAAACCATTCCCATGAATCTCGAAACATGCAACCCCCCCCCCCCCCCCCCCCCCCCCCCCCCCCCCCCCCCACCCCCCCCCCCCCCCCCCCCCCACACACACACACACACACTCACTCACACACACACACTCCACTCCACTCCACTAAGGAAGTAGCCCAATAAACTGTGAGTCTAACAAGCATACGGAAAAGTCCAAGTAATTGAACCCGAGGAGGCCTTGGAAAGCGCCCTCGATTCCAAATCAAAGGCACAGAAAAAATTTCTGTGAACGACTGAAAAATACAATAAAGTTTGGTTCATTTTGATCGTGTTTTTTACTTACTCCGCCGAAAGTGTTTGTTGGAACTGATGAAGATGATGAACGTGAACGGTTGAACAAACGATGGAAACTGAGCCCCAAATAAGACTCTCTTGTTCTAAGACTGGAATTGTTGACACTTATTGATTCTGAAAATACAGAGGAAAATATAATGTATGAAATGACGAGAAATGAATGAGAATTTGTTTCCTTTCACCTTTATTCGTTGTGATATGTATGTCTAATATTTGTTTTCATAGAGGAAAGGTTTTAGAACATTGACGAGGAGGAGGACGATGGTGATAGTGGTGAGGATGATGGTGATGATGGTGTGATGATGCTGATGGGGATGATGATGATAGTGTGATGATGATGATAGTGTGATGATGATGATGGTGTGATGATGATGATGACGACAGTGTGGTGAAGATGATGATGATGACGATGATGAGGATGTGATGAGGATGTTGCTAATGATGATGATGATGGTGGTGAAGATGATGATATTGATGAAAGTGGTGTTAGTGAAGATAATGGTGATAATGATGATGAAGGTGGGGATGACGACGATAGTGAAGATGATGATAATGATAATGATGATGATTCAATCCAAAGCTTTGAATTTGAAATTCATTTAAGTCTACCAACATCAATTCAGGACACAAGTTTACAACTAAACCTGAAACACCATAACAAACAGCGATTACAGTTACGGGACTGCACGGCACGGTAAGACGCGTTCTCTCCCATAAGAAACATAGTCCAGTATCTCAACAACATACCTGATTTCGAAAACTTCGAAAGCCACTTGTAAAATCCCTTCTTGAGCTTCTTCCTTGCTTCGACCGTAGAAAACGTATACAAAACTGGATTTAAAGATGAATTAAAGGGAATCACATAAACCGCAATCACTGCATACACTTTCCCAGACGAATCGTTGAAATGACCAGTTAGCGATAGTACACTCAGTGCAACTACTGGAATCCAAGTGCAGAAGTCTGTCAAAACTATCAAAAACATTCTTTTCCCCATTGGACGTTTAGAGCTTCGAGCTGAACCCACCCTGCGTGCTGATTGGCGAACTTTAATGAATATCGCGAGATAACCAAGCGCAATGAACAGAAATGCTGCTCCATTGAAGATAACGAAGACGCCCACCGAGTACTCCCAGCCGTCAGGGCGATCGGTGGATAACTGCAGTGGAAGACAGACAGTTGAACGGCCATAAAAACTGAACCCCGATTCCTTGTCGTTGAAGTAGCTTGGAATGAGAAGAGGAGCGACTGACAATATGGAGGACGTAATCCATATAAATGAACAAATGATACGAGTCAATCTAATCGTGAGACGTGCGGAAGAGAAATAAAAAAGAATGGATTTGATTCTGTCTGCGGTAACGACCACCAGGATCATCACAGATACCTCACTTGAGAGTGTTGATATTACCCCTGCTATCTTACACCCGAAGCCTGATCTCCAGTCGACATCATGTTGGAAGTATTCTCCCATCCATAGCGCATCGTGCACCGCAATAAATAGTAAATATACTCCCATTAGGAAATCAGCACACGCCAGATTAGAAAATAACAACGACTGCACGTCTTGTATCTCTGACTTTGATTTATTCTTGGTTGGCTTGGAACACTTGGACCACCAGATGATAACAGCCACGTTGCCAAAAGATGCTATGATTCCCTGGATCCAAATACCAAAACGTAAGGCAGAGGTTTTAAGCATGTCATCACAGCTTGACAACTGGTTGCTAGGCGATTCGCAATTAAGGTTGGGGTTATTCTTGGTTGCATAGCAACATAGGATGAAGCTGTCTAATGTTCTGGAAACAAGACAAAATGCTTTTATAAGTGAAATATATCTATTGAGGCTTTGCACCATCACGTGTTGGCAGCCATGACAGGAGGCACAACGAAAGAGTCTTTTCCCCCTAGTCCAGAACTGGACCCACTTTTATCTGCGCGCGCGGTAAAAATATGAGAAGAAGATCTGGATCGAGAGTCAACGGACGCGATAAAAGTGGGATAAATAAAATCTTTCTCATGTTAACCAGATTAGATCAGATTTCTTGAAACATAAAGGCACACGGCTCGGCACGGCACGGCACGGCACGGCGCGGTACCTTTGGAACCAATCACATCGCGTGAGGTTATTACTCAGCCAATAATGAAAAGTCCTTGCATGCGGCATCATCGCTTTCACTGTATTTTCGTACCGTGAGCTTTTTACATTTATATCAAACTCAAGCTCTATCTGAGTGTGGGACAGAAATTAAAGCCTTCTCCCCCTTCGTGGTCACTGACGATTTTACAAGTTCGTCTGACTACTTACAAATTTCGTAAGTTAACGAGCTGTGCGAATGCATCTTTTTGAACATTCTGCTCCTTGAGTGGGTTGTCGTGCAGTGTTCTAAAAGTTGAAGAAGACAAGTAATTTTCTTTGTAACTTTGTATCGAGGTAGGAAAAGCTCGAAATAAATGGCCGCCATTTTGGATGACGAAAGGATATTCGCGCAAGACTCACAGTTTCTGTAGCTCGGCGAGCCCTGTAAAAGAAGATTTGTCCAGTGACCTGATTTTGTTTGAATGAAGTTTCCTAAAGTAAACAGATTACGAAAATTAGAATAAAGAAAGAGATAAAGAAAGAGAAAAACAATATCAAATGAAGCAGATAATTATACGGAAATAGACACAGACAGATTTCAAGAAGACCAACACAAAAAGCGGGAAACAAAATCTAACATTTTCTTACAGGGTTTTAAGATTTTTCTGCTGACGAAACAGCCCAGTTGGAATCCTTTCCAATGCGTTATTGTGAAGATACCTGAAAACATAAAGAAAATAAAGATTGGCACTGCAGCCTTTAATACACTAGGACTACAAGTGCCACAGGGCGCCCAATCCATAAAATACCGGATTTTGAAATCATATTCCGTATTTCCTCTATTGACCCCCTAGTCTCCCTTCTAATAAGCCCCTTCAAATAGTCCCCATTCCAAAAGCACTGAAAAAGAAAAAGCCTCTGGAAGTTTAGTAAATGAAATACGGTATATATATATATATATGATATGTTTTATATTTCACTTACAGATGCAATAATTTTGTGTTATTTGCGAAGGTCTCGCTCTTAAGATCCGTCAGTCGGTTGCTATGGAGACCACTGAAAATAATGTTTAAATTGATGATAAAATGATATTTAAAAAAAGCTTTAAAATTATTAAATATTTATGAGTTGGTATTATTTATTGGTATCCCCCAACGTTTAACACTAGGACCCCTTTTAACTTTATAGGATAAAAGATAGAAGGCCTCAAAGGATAGTAAAACAACATATGAAGCTCGTAAACTATTAAATTATTAAATCATTATATAATTATTGCATAAGATGATTCAAACTCAAATATACCCTAACGGGGATCCCTCAAGGATTCATATTGGGACCTAATACTTACAGGAATTGTAGATTGAAGAGACTTAAAAAGGTGCTGTTTTCAATTGCTATAATCAAGTTTTCACTAAGATCTCTATAAAAATCACAGCAAATAAAATTAATGTTCCGTATAGGAAATTACCACAATTATATTATTTTGTTGTTGTTGTTGTTGTTGTTGTTGTTGCTATTTATTTTAGAGTTATAGATTCCGATAAACATTTTGGTCCCATAACTATCAAGTTAAAGGAATGTTGTCACCCCAGGCTAGTTCTTATCTAATCCGGACCGGATTTGGCGTATTTCATGGTTACGGTACGGGAACTGACGTTAGTGGTTTTGTAGTCTACTATATACTTACAAGGCCTCTAGACTTGTTAGTTTATTGAACATTGTTCCGTCTAATTCCTTGAGGAAATTTGCGTTGAGTCGCCTGTTAGTTCCAAGAAATTAAAAGAAGAAATAAATTTGAAATATATTTTGCAACTAAAGCTGACCAAACAAAACTACCCACGTTCAACGACCCACCCACCC